TTTGTGGCCTCCTAGAGTTCTTAATGGAAGGAAACCATTTAAATTAATTATAAAAGACGCTGGGTTGTGATATAGAAAGTTGTTTTTTTCTCTTGTTTTCGCAACTTGGTCATATTGGCATGAAGACCTAAGGGAAAGTATTTTGTCCAGAGGCCATAATATGCATGATAATTTGAGTCGAACCGTGGACTTGGTATATTCCCAGACGCCGTAGTCGGCAGCGTCTGTGAATCTTGCCTTTTTGCTGAGTTGTAGTTTGGTGCTGAAAATGGCAAGACTCAATGACGTTGCCGGCGAAACGTCTGAGAATGTACCAAGTCCACGGCCAGACACTGGGAATTATCATCCATACTATGGACACCAGACAAGTTGAGTTCCTTTAGGTCTTCCTGCCAATAGGATCAAGTTGCGAAAATAAGGTTAAACAACTACCATACGTCGAAAGTTGATTGCGACCAAAATAGAGGCCACAACATCTTGGTCTTTGTATCTGTGATATGTAAAGTTTAGGCTCTATGAGCCACTAACACCCATGGCTGTGCACATATGTATGTATGTGTGTGTTTATATGCATATGTAGGGCGAAGTGCTAGCATGCTGCGACTTATTGCGAATGACTCAGTTTAGAATCCCGTTTGGAGTGATGGTGAGATGGTGATATGACTGACGAAACTGGAGTTTTAATTGGATGAGAAATCGCCTCTTGGTGCTAAGGCTTAATGACATGCACTACATTCAGGAGGTCCACGCATTCACTTGTCGAAAAACTCAACTATGAATCCTTAAGCCATCTTAGATCACATAGCCTGGCTCACGTCCTTGTTCAAGAATTATATATAATCTCGAGATGAGTTCTTGTTAAAAAAGTGCTTATAGATAGTAAGAATTACTGGGTTTGAATGAATCTCATAAGATAACATTTTTCGGTTGACTTTTATTTTGCATGAAAGAGCTTATTTTTTAAATTATAAATGATGCATAAAATCTGACCTTTCTTATG